TCACTTTTATTTTCGTACTTTCGACCACTTTTTATTTTAAATTAGTTATTGCCTATAAAGAATTAGTAGATACTTTTCGATTACTTCGATTTTTTTAACTTGAAAGCAACTAACAATATTGAAACTGTTAGTGCCAATCTTGCACAGACAGTGGAAATGCAATCATATCCGGAGTTGAATCTTGAAAATTCAGTTATATCACGAATCTGTTTTTTGTGAAGGCTTTTGAAGCAGAATTTAAGATAAACGATATTAATATAGACAGCACGCACAAAGTCTGCAGAAAATTATGATAAACTATGATTATTATTTCTTGTTCTGTGTATTAAACAGACACTGGGTGACCCCAGAATAAAACAAATTGAAAACAAAACCTAGCAAAACGAGAAAAGAAACACAAATGTTATATAATGACCAAGGACGCCAGATCAGGGTCTAAGCGAGGCAGAAACTGGAAAAGTAAAAGTTACTGAGGTCACAGGTAACACGAAATGTGTAGCTTGATTATTTTCGTTTTCTTGAAAATATCACTGGGGCTAAAGAGTATCGACGCGAAACCTATGTCAACAAAGTAGTGCTTTCTTAATAATTGTTCACCGCGCCCCAAACAGATCTATTTTGCTGCAACGAGGAGTTACGTCCATCGTTTAATCCTTCTGTACAATACCGCTGGTAGAAAACTACTGTACCCTTTTCTGTCCAATATCGATTTGAGGCAATTCCTCTCTCGTTATGTAAAGTTACGCACCTGAAAGTAAAATTTAGATAAAATGTTTAAAGTCTCAGATCTTGATATAAACAGTATGTCAATTACATTAAAGTTACAATTTCATATTTTTAAGTTATATTTTTAAAATGTATTAAAATAAAGCCCTAAAATAGATGGTATCTATAAACAGCCCAACCTTGTTAAAGAATAATCCTATTAATCCTATAATTCACTATTGCCAGTTCAGAAATTGGCAAAAATATAATTTTCAACTTCAAATTCAAACGTTTTAAGATAGCTATTCCATGGAGGGGAATAGGAAAACAAGGGGGGTAATTGGGAGGTAATTGTGTTATTATTTCCGGTGTGAAGATTTTTAAGTGTGAGGAAGATAACCTATGATCGTATAATAGTGAGTTGACAACCTAGAATTATGTTTTGACTTTCTTAGAAAATATGAAATAGTAACTTTAAGAGCGATGACTTTTACGAAAATATCTGAGATGACTAGATATTACCCCAAATTCAATATCTAGTTCCCACAATAGAATAACTGTGTTTTGTGAAGTACCTCTAGGTTTTAAAATTATATCTCCTAGAGATTAGAGAATGTGGTTATATTTTAGCACCACGAAGTCTCCTGTTTAAATATGATTCTCTACAAAAATGGCAAATACTTTTCGCAACAGTTAAAGTTTTAAGTTGTATATGCCTGGAAGCGTGATTTATTTTATCACGATGCCATTATAGAGTGAATAGATGATACATGATGTACTATTCTAAACAAGGTTGTTATTATTCCCAATATAAACACAATGTTGATTATGTATCCATGCTTATCTTCTGTCACATTGTTTTCTATTTCCGATAGTTTTTCGACTGAAAATAACCATGTACAAACACAAAGAGTTAAATGGGTGGCCATTTGTTCGTGCATTATATACACATCGACGAAATACTGCCAGAAGTGTCAACTTTATCTGGAATCAGGCTGGCAATACCATGTTTCATATCCATTTACACTGCTAGGGGAAGGCACAACAGACAATGCACATTAAAGATGCATTATGTAAGAGCTAAATCGGCCTATTGCAGTCTTTCTTTCGGCTTCAAATGTTATATAAATTATTATTTAGACATTTATTCCCATGACAAGCCTATAATCAACTCCATGGGACATCGGGTGGCGGAGATGTATACGGACTGAAATACGATCGCCATTTAATGATTTAATTTAAACAAGTATCTTTGTTACGATAATTAACAATCTATGCCACATCTAGTCAAAACTTCAAACAGTGATAACGTCACTCACAATAAAGTAATTTGAACGGCTATCTCTTTATCTAAATCTTACATAATGCATCTTTAAATAACACTCTCTGTAGAAACAGTCATGGAATCTGAGAGAGAGAGACCTTGACACCGCTGTCCCGATATTTTAATGTACACTGTCTAGAAACCAGATGGTTATCGTTACTTGTTGGTGACACAATATAACAAAATTTAAATAATCGTTTTAAAAAATTCAAGGATGTATCATTTTATGTGCCAGACGAATATACCAGATGTATAATCTATATGTCTGTCTGCTACCTTCAGGGACTATTTAGCTGATCCTAATGCTTCCTGTTTGTTATATTATGAATGCAAATAGAAGTGTTTGGTGTCTTACACAAGATATAACTATATTTTTACAATGTTGTAAACAAATGAAATGAAATGGGGTTTAACGTCTTACTGTTCTGCTCCGACTTGAAGACGGGCTTACCCCATACAGTGTGCTACGTGGGAAATTTTACCCGGACCTCAGCGCTAAGGCCAGATCTTATATCGAATTCCAACTGCCAGGGGATCTTTTACTTGCACGCCAATGTGTATAAGAGACCTCTGAATGATTTCATAGCTTAACATATGCAACCAATATAATTGATCTGTAAAAAAGGACAACTGCCCATGTGGCCAATATATTAAAAAATATTCTCTACTTTATTTATGGCTTAGAGACTTCCGAATTACATGAACCTTGTTCCCGTGGAAACTAAGCACCGGAACACAAAAATAGTTTAATGTACAACTTCAGCTGTGAAAACGATCTTGTAAAAATAATATATTGACAGCATAACGATATTATTATTACCAGTCTGTTGAACCGTAACGTGGGAATGTGGTATTGTCAGACTAGGTTCAGCTTCCCGCTCCAGGAGTACATATAGTTCGTTTGTATTTTCATTATTTGATTTATTAAACCTAAATCGATGGCAGCACAATTTTCATTATCTAACTTCGACAAAAATAAGTCTTATTCAGACAGTAATTTTTGTCTAAATTACAAATTGATTATGCATGACCTTCCAGTTTATTCTGAATAATGTCCCTTTAAATAGCAGAAACATCATCAGCAATAATCGTGATACTGCTTTGTAAATGAAAACAACATAACAAAAGAAACGAAAGTATGGTCTAATTTATGATAGAAAATTAAAAGACCATTAAATATTGTATCCTATAGTTTTGAAATAGAATGGATCACGTAACCTATTTTAATAATACAAACCCAAAGTATATATACTTTAGAATACAGAAAACGTTTATCGGTCATTATGTTTATGGCAGTAATTTATTCCCACATCTAAATTACAAATATACAAAATAATAGTTGTATCATGTTGGCGTTAAGTTGTTGATCGTAGTAGAACGTAGTAGTGGGATGTTATGTACGCATGAACTGTACGTGCGAACATTGATAATTATACCAAATAAACTAATAATACGTTTTAGCCCTTGAGTAATTGAATAGGGTATTGAATAAGGTACATTAGTATGGCGTGCATTTCAAAATTCAACGAAGCAAGCACGAGTCGGATTACTTGTTTCGTTTAGTTTCTGACATCTGTATGTTCCGAAATGTCAATCGACATAACTCTTCGGAAAGCCGAACTAGCGATAATTCGAGAATATCAGTGACAATTCGGTAAAAATATGATGACAGTGATAGTGACCGCCCTTGTAATTGTTTCTATATAATAGAGACTAAGCATGTACTGTAGTCTGTCACTTAAAGAAGCCAAGTCTTTAATTCATTATCATCCACAGTTATCGTCAGTTTAGATCAACATTAATGTTATCTTACTGCGAAAAGATTTATATGAAAATCGCGTGGCAGAATGCTTGGGAGCGCTACTTATAATGCGTAACTCGAGGAACGAGGCTAAACATATCCGACAAGGGAAGACTACCGAAGTAGACTGGAATAACCAGATGTCATAGACTGCCATTTAATTTGCACTCTTCGCATATAGAGAAAGGGAGACAAATGGGGTTTAACGTCCAATCGACACAAACTAGGTCATTTCGGGACTAACATAATATGGTTCAATTTTATTTCAATAATTCGCTGCGCGTAGGGGTCTTTAGCAGTGGGAGGAAACCGGAGAAACCGATGTTGGACAGGCGACCCCACTCCTTGTCACGTACAACCGAGGAATCGAAACCACGCCAGTTGACTCAATGACAGACTTTATGATACAACGCGCACGCGCTAGCCATTCGGCCATCCACCCAACCCCCACCAACCCCCTTCGCCGAACATAACGGATTAGAAATTACCGTAAAAACAGAAACGATTGAATGTAAATCAGTTTATATACATTCATGCTGCATTTTTATATGCTTTGCGACTCTTTTGTGCCCATTTCTAGGTGCCAAAGAATAGAGATTTAGCTCCTTTAAGCAGACGGGTAGCTTGCCACATCACCTTTCGACCCCACAAAAAATGAATTCTTATTCACTAGAGCAGTATTTTCAATATAATTTATTCCAATTTTTAAAGAATAAACAGAAGATTGGAAACTAGTCTAAAGCTACGTGTACAAGTACTTCACACGGAACAATATCTACCTCTTGCGGATGAATCCAGTGTTATGAGATATGGATGCTTCTTAATAAGTAAGCGCGTCATGCCTTGTGCACAATACGCGTAAAGCTGTCTCTTGTTCGTACAGACGAGAGTGATGGTGCGTGATAACATAAGTGTAGAAATAGGGACACATGCCCCAATAACGCATTATGTCAAAACAAACTCGGGTGTATCGTTAATATAGGGGCGTGATAATATCATCACAGGGTTTAAACCAGATACACTAGTTTCTACATAACGATTAGCTCTTATCATTGCGCTGTATTCGTTGGCCAATGAAGGCGTTTATGATCACTCCGTAGTAGAAACTTCGTAGATTGTTATTATTTACTGTTTCAAAAAACAAGTTATGGAGAAGTGTTGGTAGTCAGAGTGTTTCGGGAAACACAGCAAGACTATCGTTATCGGCCCAAAGTACAATGTGTTATCTATTTCGGGATTTTCGGACTGATAAAAGCGTGTTGACCTTGTCCTAGATGTTTATAAAATAATATGATTTGATTACTTTTACGTCAAGATAAGCCAATACAATGTTGTTTGTTTCCATTACTTGGACAGATATAATTTAGGCTGAATAAGACATTATTGGCAATAATTTGCCAAGTCTCCGCCTCACTGATATCAACACGAATGGTAGAAGTATAACTCCGACCCTATATCGATCCCTTCATACCCCAGTCTTCACGGTACGTAATAGATTTAAAGCCTTGTACCGAAGAATAACAAGACAAGTTTGCGGTCGTTTTATTCGCTTGACTTTTTATTTAATATTTCAACGTTAGATCTTGGACAAACTTTTAAAATAAAAGTGCGATAAAGTTCATATCAGTTAAGTAGTATTCGGTTAGTTTCGTATATTTTTGGTTGTCTAGCTACAAGACTTTTGCGGTTTACAAACAACCACGGTCGAAGACAGTTTTCACATTCAATTACTTTTTTTATTGGAGTAGTGCATCAGACTTAATGAACTTAATAGTAATGGACTGTAAGTACCAGCTCTTGTGAATGAATAACCCTGAAGTTGGTTTAAATTATAAAGTGATTCATAAGTAGTAACATATGTAAGTATATGTATTATTTATTATTAGGCAGGTGTTATTGGCATAACCTCATACTGGGACCGTAATGGGTTCTATTCATACTTTATGTAATTAATAGGTCCATTAGCTTTAACATGGCTTTTGTTCTAGAGTTCAGGATCAGGTCGCTAAACGGATTGGGCGAGTATGAGTAAAAGTTTTATAATCCTTTGTTTATTTCACCAAGCATATCAAATGTACATATGAAGAAATTTAGTATGTATATAGCAGAATATATTGTTACGGATATCAGTCATTAATGTTTTTCACTGCGAGTATCTATCACATTATAATATTAGTCGGTAATGCGTTTATCGTCGTCATTCCAAACCCTTGTACTGCCCCCCCCCCTTTCATTTATACGGTATCATTTTCCCCAATGTACTACATGACTTTTATTTCTTTATATTAATTTATCATAACTCACTCATAAAACACACAATAAAACCTTCTATTTCGCGAATACGATAATGATCCTGATCGCATAGCCTATATCACTCCTCTATATAGTGATCAAGAACATAACATTTTATTTTCGATCGACCAGTCGAGGTTGTCGTATGCAATACATTGTTTAAGACTCGCATCATAGACGTTAGTATTGCAACAGAAGAACAAAAACGGTAATCATAACCGGTAGGCTACATTTTATATTTATTTGTTGGCGGCAAAAAAAGAGGCGAACGAGGTTTGATGAACATATGATGAAGTTGCATTCCTTCCAGTACTGAAGCAGTTTCTATATTTTTAAGATAATGTTAGTGTATTATATTTCGAGGTGGCTTGGAGACGAGGAAATGATAACAGTGTAAAATATAATTTAATTTTTCAATTGAGATATATTTTATTTATTTATGCATTTGTTTATTTTAATTTTATTAATTTATTTTTAATTTATTAATGGGGGGGGGGGGGGGGTATGGTTCCTTCTGTTAGAAATTTCTTGTGTCAGCAAGTATATTTTAACATATCTTGCATTATGTGTTTCGGCATTATACAGGGTTGTGCTCTGTTAGATATTTAAGGTTGACGGTGCTTATCGATTCATGACCCGTTAATGATCAGGCAGTAGAGATAGGTTTAAGACAAAATGGTGCATTTAAATAGCTGCATTGTTACATCATATGTTACATCATAAGTTTCCTATTATAAGGCCCTTGCTTTAAAAGTATTGTCGACACGCTATGGAATAAAGTATTAAGCGAATTTAGGGAATTTGGATATAGGATCCAATATGTAGGCCTATCGTTGCTCCATGAAGAAATGTCTTTCATGGGTTCAAACACCTTGTTAAACATTAAAGAAATTATAAAAAGAACAAAAAAATCCAGTAATTAAATTGAAGGAAAACTTTCTGTTTTTTTACCTGTACATAGATTGGCAAAATATATCTCAAAAAGTTGCTGAACCATTATTGTCGTTGTTTGAAAAGAAAGATTGTAGACAAGTTAGAAATCAGGATAGAGTTTCAAGCTGAATTGGGCTAAATACACAGGAAATTTCAATTACCCCAGAAATATTTTCATCTAACAATTATTAGCAAGTATAATTGGTCTATTTAGTGTGTACAACATGTATACAATGGGCTTGTTTAGTGTTGTGTGAGAAATAAACAGATGGCAGTCAGATTATTGCATGCATGGACTATTTAAGTCCCTCTAAAAACAAAGGCTTGATGCATATATGACTTTGAGAAGCTGATAATGTGTAAAATTGATATCGTGATATCGCCGATAAGAGAAGCTGATACGTCTCTCTATACTTTTTTATAGCAGTCGCACTATGATATAGTAATGTCTCTAAAATATGACAATGTTTGTCATAAATCACAAATCCGATCACTCGTTTCTAAATTGTCTTCTTTAATTTGAAGCATCGGTGATTCCCCGTTGGCTTCTTCAAAACACCAACATTTCTTTAAGCTGTGGCAACCTTTCGTTTCATTGCGCCCATTTTCATAACCTATCCATCAAACCAGATGTAAAATGAATAGGTTTTTACGACATATTTTGACAGATTATTTTTAATCAACCGTTTTATAAATATCTCCATAATACTTTTAGCTTTGGATCTTATGCAAGAGGGAATTTTATAGGATTTTTTACATCATAACAAACCACATAGTCCATTACCGGGCCATACTCAAATAATAAGAACGTCTCTTGATGCATCTGTTAAGAAGTTGGTTGCGGACTTAAGGGGGGGGGGGGGATATAACAGACTTGTGTTACATACATAAAATGTATGAAATGACATTGCTCATGACATCCCTAATCTGTTTGAATGGTAGTTAAGGCATATTTCATAATAACCTTAAGGTTTGACTGTAGTCATGGCATCCGTGTTATGTTTGACTGTCCTGGCATGCTTGTTATGCTTGACTGTCATGGCATCCTTATTATGTTTGACTGTCATGACATTGCTCTTATGATTTAAGGAAAAGAAATGATGGGTTTAGGATAAATACCACAGCTCAAAACTTAGCTCACAATCAAAATTATGGTAGTGGCTTTTAGTTAAATTTTTCTCAAAAAATTATAGGTGAAAACGGCTTTCTTCGCGTTTTTTCGATGTGATTTCGTGGTCTGTTATGTCTAAATTGTTTTGAGATCTTCTGATCATTTTACCTCAATTCACCTAAAACGAAAACTTTGTCTTTAAAAAATATCCAATACCATACTGCCAGGGCACCACTAAATATAATGAGATATGTGGCAAAATAACCATGCTCGGAAGTCAACGTGCCACAAAACAATTACATGCTTGCTGATATCGAGAAAGCCTTCAATCCCCGCGCTAAATATACTGTCCTTCGTGTCAATTCACAGCTGCAATAGCAATCCACAAAGGTTAGCTGTATCATTTATTGTGAGATGAAGTTGAAACTGTACACTCAGTTGATATAAATCATTAGCTATAGGTGAAAAATGTCGTCAAGTCAACCAGAGAGTAAATCTAACGTCTATTGATTTTAAAAACACTCTTTATTAGGCTTTTGTATTGGGAGTTAAAGTCATATCTTGCTAAAAAAATATTATAGTTGGTCGGTTCTTCACAATTCTTTGGAATTGTAAATCGTGCCCTTTCAAAAATTGTAGCCTAATGCCCCAGTCAGACCGGGGTGGCGTCCTTACTGCACTACTGCGACTGTACGGCGACCAGAAAATGCACAAGGTCGCCGGCAAACGTGAATTACGATCTTGAAAAAAATTCGCGTTCTTACCGCGACCTGTGCTTATATCGCGTTCTCACGGCGCGCACGTCACGACCTTTCCGCTTTCCAGGTCAGATCGCCTTTATTGGTGACCATGGAGACCACAGCACGATATCTGGCGTTTCCACCATGCATTTACCACGCTTATAGCGATCTTGACGCGCTCTGGGACTATTTTCCGACTGGGGTATAACTAACTTACACTTTTTATTTTAAGAGTTTCGCTCAGCCGATAAAATTTCAAGCTCTGCCAGCTTCGGGAATCGTAGTCACAGCGCACACTCCTTTTAATGCCCCCGTCAGACTGGGGTGGCGTGCTTACCGCGCTGCTGCGACCGTACGGCGGCCAGAAAATGCACAAGATAGCTGGAAAACGTGAACACAACGCGAGAAAATGTCCCCAAGAAATTACTTACCGCGACCTGTGCTTATATCGCGTTCTCACGGCGCGCACGTCACGACCTCTCCGCGCTTATGGCGTTTTTTATGAGATCTATTGGCTTGGTAATGGCTATCATCGGCAAACCCGCTGTCCTCAACGCGACTGCGCGTGCGTTTCTTCCACGTGATCACGCGATATTATATAAGCCGCTCATTTTTTTGAAAATTTCAAGATGACGACATACACACTGATGTATAAACTTTGAATCGCCTGTTTTATAGCAAGTCGCATATAAAACGTATGGTAGCCATAGGAGCTTAATGCAAGCTTGGTAACCGCGCCATGATTGTATTAAGAAGTCCATAAACGCAGTGGGAACCACATACGATCGCCATAATCGCACTGGGAGCCCCATGAGGATGTGGTACGATCATGCAACAGTGGTAAAATCATCGTGACATCGCCATGACAACGTCATAAGGACTCTGGACGCTTTGTGGGGTCGTAGCGGACACGCGTTGATCGAGGTGAACCACCGTTGCAAATGTTACAATTTTCGCAGCGTCTTTGCCATGTGTAAACTGCGCGTGTACTACGTTCATGAAGATGTTGACACGCTTGTCTCGCGACCCCACAGCTTTCCAGGGCAGATCGCAGAAACTTGGCGTTTGTTTTGAACATTTTAAAAACAAGCGCCGTGACGCGGCGATCATTGGCGACCATGGAGGCCATAGCACGATATCTGGCGTTTTCTTCACGCTTCTACCACGCTTATGGCGATCTTGGCGCACTCTGGGACCATTTTCCGTCGCCTTAGTAGCGCAGTAAGGGCGCCATCCGGGTCTGAAGGGGGTATAGAAAACGTGAACTTAAAGATACTTGATTTTACATCACGCAAATATGTTGGTCCCACTTCGTTTCACGAATATATGAAACTGTTTTCGAATCCTGCGAATTAGACGGAACTCTGGAAGAGATGAAGCAAGGGGACCGGAGGTAGGAGTCGTGGATACAGATTATATAACCCTTTTAAGCATGGCAATATACCTTTGCTCGTTATGCTTATATTTTAGCGTTTGATTTATGTTTCTAATATGATTTTCATATTATAGCTTAATCGTACACCCTGGCATAGTTTTTAATATGTTATGATGGCTGCTCAAAATATCCCAGCAACGTTATAGTCCTGCTCTTCTAGTCGTCCATGATTGCCTGTGTTTTCTAAGTGTCAATAACAGTGGACCAACAATTTAATTAGACCGGTAATAAGACCAGTGATATATTAAGACACGAAGCGAACAATCCAGTCTCTTGGTACTCCCTTAATTACTTTAATACAAAGAAGAAATAAGACAATTTCGGCACACATAAGAAATCCGAAACTGG